GTCTTCTGCCCATTTCTTGATTGGATTATTTGTTCTTTGGGTGTTGAGTTTGATAAGTTCTTTATAGATTTTGGATACTAGCCCTTTATCTCTTAAGGTTCTTAAGAAGCTATTAATCAGATAACATATGAAACTCTTAACACTGTGCCAATACCTGGAAGTGGATGGAGGAGTCATTATCTGTGTTTTATTGTTATTATTATAGTTATTATTTTTAAACCTTGACTTTTATTCTTGCCTTGCTAGTCTTCTTCCCAATCCTAACAAAGGAAGATGTCAAATTGGAAGATTATGTCTTAAAAACAATTTATCTGTCTATGAAAGGGAAACTGGAGTTTGATGATACATAGAAGATATGAAAAGGTGTTATGAGGCCCAGAGCACGAACTGTTGTGGCATCGTTTGTAGGTGATGAACTTGATCTGAAAGGGAAACACCTGCCCATTCACAACAATAGTTGTATCCTAAAAATTTCTGCATTAAGATGGTGAAAATGAGATCTTTACCAAAAGTTCTTACTAAAAATTTCTGAGGGTACCTGGGTGGCTCAGTCAGTTAAGCATCAGACTCTTGATTTTGTCTCAGGTCATGATCTCAGGGTCATGAGGTCGGGCCCTGCCTCAGGCTCCACGCTCAGCGTGCTTGGGATTTCTCTCTTTCCTTCTCCCTCTGCTCCTCCCCACTCACACTCTGTCTCGCTATCTCTAAAAAACAAATTTTTCTGCATCAGATGCCAGTGGAAGTCTATGAGAAGGAAAGCCCTCAGTCTGCAAATTAACATTTCTCTTCAGCAACCCATGTCCACCTCTTGATTTTTTTAGATAATATTTGCAGCCTGAAATATAAAATCGCTTTGCTCAGATTGCCATTATTTGACCTCTTCTTGAACAACCATCCATTTCAGAATCTAAACCATCTATTTTTCTATTCCTCGTTCTGGCCCTTTCTCAAACAGCACACTCTTTCTTGCATATTTGGATAGGAGAAATGTTTTTAAAATAGCATCTCAAAAAGTGTAAAGTTACATTATTTACTTAAATTAAAATGCTTGCATAATTTTTATATAAATCTTTTTAAATACCCAAAGCAATTGATCATAAAAATAGCTGGTATTTAGGATTAGTTTGCATTGCCACTACCGTTGCTATGGTAAATGAATCTTTATTTCTACTGTTAATGAAATCGAGATGTTTGTTTGTATTGACTGTAAAATTCTTTCCTGGAAAAAACACTCATGTAATGTGCTGTTCTTCCATAAAACTCCTCATTCCTCGCATTCCCAGGTCTGTTCATCTTCATTATGCTCAAGGCTTTTTTTTTTTTAATTTAAAATAATTTTTTATTGTTATGTTAATCACCATACATTACAATGCTCAAGGCTTTTTTAACTAAACTCTTTCTATCCACTTCGCTATCACTTACCCACCTTCTGTCACTTCATTTTTCCCTTCAATTATCTCATAGGTTTCAGTCTTCCCAAATTTATTGTTAGCTCCTTGATGAGAGGTACTGCCTTATAGCAGGTGTATATTGTATGCTGTGAGTCTCAGGTTGTGTCTCCATTGTTGTTTGATGGGAGTTCTAATCCACATTAGTGAACTTCATCTGTTCATTCATATTACAACCAATGTCTTTAATGCCACATCAAAATAAATATCTGAAGTACACATGCATTTCTTTCCCAGGTTAATCAGCTTCGTGGCATCCCCAAGCTGCTGCAGCTCCTAAAAGTTCAGAATGAAGATGTTCAGCGAGCCGTATGTGGGGCCTTGAGAAACTTGGTATTTGAAGACAATGACAACAAATTGGAGGTAGCTGAACTCAATGGGGTACCTCGGCTGCTGCAGGTGCTGAAGCAAACCAGAGACTTGGAGACTAAAAAGCAAATAACAGGTAGTGCTTACAGAATTTTAGGACATAGGACATAGGACATAGGACAGGGTACCCCAGCTGGGTATGTTACTGTTTTTTCTTAAGCTTCCCGGAACCGTGGTTGATGGGCTCATCATTATCTGAGAGGTGGCTTTCAAGGAATATTGTCACCCTGCTGAGTTAGACCCCAGATTCAGGTCAAGTTGGAATTCCTTTTTTTCTGAAGGGGAAATTATTTTGAGGCATTGCTCAATATTTTTCATTAAAAACTTTACATTTTCATTAAAAACATGTTTTTAAAACAACTTTACAAGACTCGCAGCCTAGAAATCCTGCATCAGTTTACTAACAGCCAATTGTGTAGTTTGAGGATGTGTGAGGTTTCATTATTGCCTTGGGTGTCCAAGGCATTCATTCGGAAGAGAATAGGAACCACAACCAGTTATTTTTATTATATACTCGGTAATCCACTCGCTGGATCTATGCGAAGAAAGCGAATCAGGGAGTCAAATAGTGCCCGAATGTAGAGGGTCAGTTCAATCAAATAGTCAAAAATACAGGAAATGTTGTTTCCCAATCCTTCCATTACCTGGACCCCTCAAAATACCAGCTCCCTAGCCCACCCATCCCTGCACCCTAAAAAAAGAGAAAAGATGAAAGTGGTTTTTAGTTCTCTACTTCATATTTCAAAACACTGATTTGTACAAATAAATATCTTCTTTCTGCCCAAGCGATTAGAAGGATGAAATAATCTGATAGCATTAAAGCAACAGTTTTAGTAATCCTTGAAACGTGGAGAAGAGAGACCTAGTTTCATTTAAATGAATAGTACATACGGTAGAGGAGAAAATGGTGCATCGATGTTCAAGCTCACCCTCCTCGCCATCACCTTTAGCTCCCCGCTGGTGCTCCCTGCACACATTACAGACTGCGATTGTCAGTAGGATTGCCCTGGGGAAACTTTAATTAAGTAGCTTCGGTGGCCCAGGTGGTAAACATACAATTTTAATTTAATTATCACGGAAAGGTTCTGAGGTATTTTTAGGTATTATTGGGTGATTAAATCTCACTTTTATAGATGAGAAAAGTAAAGCCCAAAGAAGTTAACCCTTTTTAATACATCCTATAAAAGTAAAGTACTAATGCTTGACAGTGTTACTTATTTAAAAGGAGGTATTTCACAAATACTATTTTAAATTGAATATATTTTGCACTTCTGCCATGTCCACTTTACCATAAAGCAGTTTTTTCTTTTTTTTATTTAAAGATTTTTTTAATTTATTTGAGAGAAAGAGAGAGAGAGATAGCGAGATAGAGCACAAGCTGGAGGTGGGGAGAGGGAGATGGAGAGGGAGAAGCAGACTCCCTGAGGCTGAGCAGGGAGCCCGACGCGGGGCTCTATCCTAGGACCCTGGGATCATGACCTGAGCCGTCGCTTAACCGACTGAGCCACCCAGGCGCCCCCAACAGTTCTTTTTTTTCTGTAGAAATGTTGCCATTCAACCTTCTCTGCCCATTTATATCTTAAAATCACATATTTTTCTATCTTGATATATTTTAATTTTATAAAACTATATGAAGGGTCGTACCATGCTGCCCTTCGGCCAGCATGCTGTCTTGTCCCATGAGAAATTTCCTTCCATATTTATGACATATTAAAATACCTACAGAAATTAAGGGTGATCTCACTCATTCATTGATTCATTCATGCATTCAGCCAGCGTTTACAGGGCTGCCTTCAAGTGCCAGGCAATGAGAATCAGTCTAGAGAGATTGTAGACGTTCTTTTCCCTCTACTAAAACATGAACAATTATGTGATGGATGGCACTTAAAAAAAAAAAAAAGACCAAACCTCATAGTTAGAACCTAACATTTCCTTCACTAAAATATAGTAATGACAACCATAAGAGAGAATCAAACAGATACACTGTTTTACAGTCAAAAAAAGACTTCACAAAGGAGATATGGTTCCTTGTGGACTTTTAAAGAAGGATAGGATACACTTTGGACTGGTGTTTTGAAGGAGAATGAAAGTTATTCCCAGGAAAGTGAACATCATTAGCAAAGCAAAGAAGCAAAAAGAAGCTGCTGGTCGTTGAGAGGGAGTTGGATAATAGAGTATTGAGGTTAGGGTGTATTGTAGCTAGAGAGCTTGGAAGGATTTGTGGGTTGTGTCAAGGAAGTAATCCATTGAACCTCTCTTCCTCTTCTTTTGTTTAGGCAATAGGAAACTATGGTCAGAGAACATTCTGTGGTATTAATGCCATAGAAACCATTCAGTTATCTTTAGATAATCTACAGAGCTGATAAATGGAGGTTTATTGTGCAATTCTCAGGATTTCTAGAACAAGCCAAGCACCCCTACCAGAGGGTGCTCATTACATGCTAATTGAATTGAGTTGATACTTGAATGTTTGATACAAATCCTTCCAAATAACTTCCTTTAGCTCTATTAATAGAACAGCTAAGTGCTTTCAGGGCCTCAGAAATAAACTGTTGACTTAATGTAGACATGTTTGTATCCTTGTAAGGAAACACAAGCGAGCAACCATATATGTGAATCTTGTCTATTTGGTGAACATCTTTTTATTGAGCCCCTTTTACATGCTAGTCACTAAGTTAGGACTTTCCATTTTTCATCTTTACGCCCCCCAACATCTCCCTAATGCATTATTGATGACTTCCTCACGATCAGCGTGACACACAGCGAGGGGCGGGGGAGAGTAGATTGCCCAGGATTACACAGCTAGCAGAGCACAAGGCCCAGATTCGAACCTAGCTTTATCTGGATGTTTTGCTCTATGAAAGTGGCTCACACCTACTGCTTTGGGGGCAGAGAGCGACTCATTTTTACACTTCTTTGGGAAAGGGCTTGTCTTTAAGAATCTCAGGTCAGAGAGCTCCTTCACTCCTCTCTGAACCTTCCTCTCTTTCCACTTAACACTGACGTGCTTTGATCCTCTTCATGCCTCTGGTCTACTATTGCACTCGCTTCTTACCCCCCCTCTGATTCAGTATCGTGCATTCACACTCGATCCATCACTCTGCACCTAGTGATTTTTTTCTAATATGAAAATACTGCCCCATTGGGCTCCCCATTACCCCTAAGATACGATGTGAGCCCGGTGACCATGGGCAGCAGTGTCTCCTCTCATACCCTCCCAGCCCAGGTTCTGAAATTCTAGAGGATTAGCTGGTCTGTTCCACATCTTGGTGTCTTTGTCTCTGCTGTTTCTCGGACTAGATAGCCTCCTCCTCCACACCTTGACCACCTGGTGAGCCGTCTCATCCTGCGAAAGCCATCTTTTCCTCGGAAGCATTTTCAGATGCGATCCTCTCATACTTTACTCCCTGTCTCCTGCCATCCCCCCAGCGGAGTTTTGGAAGAAGGGGCTTCTAATGAACTACTTTTGCACCCTTTAATATTAGGATGCCACTTATTTCATGCCTGTATGTTTATTGCAGTAACAACAGTGCTATGCCTCCCAAGTTTCTCAACAACTGTGGCTGTCTGATTGAAAATGTAAAAGAGACTTGTGGGGGCGCCTGGGTGGCTCAGTCAGTTAAGTGTCTGACTCTTGGTTGCACTCAAGGTCATGATCTCAGTTCCTGGGATCGAGCTCCGCATCAAGCTCTGTGCTTGATGAGGCAGACATGGAGTCTGCCTCAGATTCTCTCTCCCTCTCCCTCCCACTCACACTCTCTCAAATAAATAAAATCTTTGGGGCACCTGGGTGGCTCAGTTGGTTAAGTGTCTCCCTTCAGCTCAGGTCATGACTCAGGGTCCTGAGACCCAGGTCTCTGCTCAGTGGGGAGCCTGCTTCTCCCTCTCCCTATGCCCCTCCCCCTCACTCATGCTTGATCTCTCTCGTGCTCTCTCTCAAATAAATACATTTAAAATAAATAAATAAATAAAATCTTTGTTAAAAAAAAGAGATTTGTGACCTGGGAATATCTAGATTACACACAAATAAGAGAATCAAATGTGTTTTCAGGTAAGACCCTGATTTTTCTGGCCAAGGTATAAAACCATTAACCATCTGATTTCTATATATGCATAAAAGAAGCACCAGAGCTTTGTTCACTGACCCTCCTGGCGTTTTCAGTACCATCCGAGAAGGGAAGCGCTTTCCTTTTCAGATGAAAAGACTTCAGGATCAAAGACTTTCCCTCTAGGAGGTTGTTCCCCTCCCTTACCAAGTAGCGTGGTAGTGTACTTTAATTGAAATGAGAACAGTACATACTGATATCAGAGGTTCATCTTCAGGGTCACTGAGTAATGAGCACTTTCAGTAGGGCTTGCAGTAGGGCTCTGCCTTGGCAAGAATGAAGCAGGAGATTCTTGTCCTGCATGTCACATAAGGAAGGGTCGGGATGATTGTTGATGGAATTTGTCGGAAATGCGTATTCACCTCTGCATGTTTAATGGGAATATTTAATTGGATTGCTGTATTTTAACAGCAGAAACATTTTACTGTAAAATATTCATTATGCACTTTTTAAAAATAATTCTATTTTTTTTCTGCATTTGTAATGTGCAACAAGTTACCTTGGATTCATATATAACTCGGACTAAATGTCCTTTGCAACAGTGTAGTATTTCAGGCGAGATTTGCAAAACTTAGGTGAGAGGAGTAGATCCATGCAAGGGAAATTATTTAAAAAAAAAAAAATCTTCCTGTTCTGTGATCACTTGCAAAATGAGGTTAAAACACACCAGTTCTCCTTTTCCTCCTCCTGTGTCTCCTTCTCCTTTTGTACTGATAATAGGGATTTATTTAGTCCTAATACTTGCAGTTTTTGCTACCAAAGTGTCATGCAGACTTTGTTAAATAACTGTATTTCTAGTCCTAAAGGGCAATATTAATAAAACATGGATTTTAATATCTTATAAGATCCCTTTACTAAAGTTAGCTACTTTTTGCAAATATCACAGTTGGAAGTAAATTTCTGGATAATGCAGTTATTATTATCTCTGTTACAAGTGCTAATTATTCAAGTATATCCCTTACCAGAATCCATTTGTCTTTCTTTTTGGCTCAAATGAGAACTAGTGATAGAAAATGACAGGCTTATCAGCTGCCACAAAGAACTATAATAGAGATCTAGGCACTATGAATAAATTAACTAGAAGTTAAAGGTGAGACCAATGAAAACCTAAACCCTAATACTAGCTCAAGGCATCTAGAATCAAGTCATCGAAAGGAACATCTATTAAGGGTCATCTGGCCCATTCGTTTCTCAATGCCAGAAATGGGAATCATTTTTTAAAGTAATCTTTACACCCAACGTGGGGCTCAAACTCATGACCCTGGGACCAAGAGTCATGCACTCTACCGACTGAGCCAGCCAGGTGCCCGGGAAATCATTTTTATAAAATACAGATTCCTAAGAGCCATCCTGAGATTTGGGATGTGGCCCAGAAATATGTGATTCAGATATGCCACTAGGTTCATTTGGAAACTGCTAGTCTAGTGTACCACTCTAGCTTGGGGGTAAAAAAAACTCCTTGTCAATGTTTTCATAAAGGATGAGCTCATTTTTTATCAGCTCCAGCGATAGAGCTGGATCTTACAAGCAGATCTTCTGTTGTCTTCAAAGCTCTCTTAGAAGTTTATATTTTCAGTGAGCCAGAATCTTTTTCCCTAGAATTTCCACTCATTAGTTCTGGTTTTGCCTTCTTAGGGTCACAAAAAATGATATCTAGCTATTAAACCTGCATTTCTTTCATTACTAGAGAAAATGCATTCCTATGTGTATTAGATTCTAACATTTTTTAGCTTGGGTTAATTTTTCTAGTAATTGAATCTTTAGTGATTTATAAGAACTCTATATATTGAGGATATTAACCTTGTATTGTGATACATATTTTCCCAATTTGCAATTGGTCCTTTATTGATTTTGTATGTACATGTAGGGGGAGTGTCTAAGTATGTATAATCCCGAATCTCTAGTGAACACTTAAGCTCCTTCCTAGCTTCGTGCCATACAAAAATTTGGCAGGCATGACATTTCTATACAATCTCCTACATTAAAAATTCAAAAAATTATACTGACACTCCCAAACCAGATTCTTTTATGGAAGTAATACTGCATGCCGAGCTATAAAGGACATCCCACTGTTGAAGGAAAATTCCACTCCCTTTGTTTAAAATTAATCCTCTTCTGGTTTTTATTGTAAGGTATACTTTTCCTTTGAGTGCCCTGTGTGGTCCCTTTTAAAAAGAGGAAATGTCATTATACTTTACATTTTTAAGCCTCTGGTAAGCAGAGACTGTTAATTTGTTTGTTTATTTAAAACAGGAAGCTATTTTTTTTCCCTTTTCTCTCTTTTCTTTTTAACTTCCTTTAGTAGCTTAGTAACCAGACCACTCAACCTCAGACTTGCCTCTAAATTGTTTTCAACCACCTTTGGAGTTTTACTCTGTTACTCCCCGGTCCAGCGCCCCTCACGCTGAAGTGGGAGGAATGAAGTCACTGTGTTACAAAACCGGTGTCTGAGGGACACTGCTCCTGACTAATCCCCAGTGTGAGTTGGATCAGGAGAAGACCTCCTCCTGAGCCAGAATGCTAGTCCTCACAAGACACCAGACCCAGTGTCGCTCTATCTGACGGAAGCTCAGTGTAGGCTGCAGTGGGAATTTGGTTATTGTTTCAGAAGTTACGTACTGGTACACAGCCAAAGTGAACTGATGAAGGTCAAAAGACTGTGTTTGGCCTCGAGTGTTCAAAACGGTGGGCCAAGTATTAGTATGGTCGAATAATTAGCAAGCTTTAACTGCACAGATCATTATTTCAGTCATTAAAATCAGGGCTGATGATATCACCACATAATTCAGCAAAAAAAAAAGCACCTTTGCTTTTTTCACAAGGTAGACTGTCCTGCATACCTGTGCTGCTTCTTTCTTTTATGCAGACAAAGCAGTACATTTTAAAAGTAAGAATTACCGATTGGGTGGTAGGGGAATGAATAGGGAAGAAAATGAAGATTCCCTTCTCTTTCTGCCTTCCTGGATGCTAGTGAGTTAGAGTTATTCACTGAGGGATGAAGGAAGCTAAGGCAACTTGACACCTGCTGGGAGTCACTGGAATAGCCAGCAAGAGGTGCATAGTCCTTCCACTGAATTGGAAGTATTTTTTTTTTTAAAGATTTTATTTATTTATTCATGAGAGACAGAGGGAGAGAGAGAGAGAGAGAGAAGCAGAGGGAGAAGCAGGCTCCCAAGGAGCAGGGAGCCCAATGCGGGACTCGATCCCAGGACCCTGGGATCATGACCTGAGCCGAAGGCAGACGCTTAACCATCTGAGCCACCCAGGCGCCCTGAATCGGAAGTATTTGAATGCCAAATTTTTAAGAAAAACAAATCCTAAATATATGGTGCCACTTTGTATTCTCTCTGAGATACCCAGCTTCAGGCTCTGTCTCACAAAGGCCCTGGAAAGTACAGTATGCTGTTATCTTAATTTCTTTCTGCGTTGGCTTATATAGCCTTTCTCTTTAATGGCAGGTCAGGGGAGATGTTTCAAGAGGAAAGGGAAAGTTGAATGAGGACAGTGGTACCAGCCTTAGGCCAATACTTTAGGCCATACACATTGGCAGATGGATCAGATACTCTTGTATCTCCTTCACTGCCAAACTGTAATATAGGAAATACAGGAGGTAGCTAGCATAAATTCCAGGAGGACAGAAAGTCTAACATTGGATAGGATTTAATAAGTATTAATTGGTGTTGTTGATCAGCCTCCTGGTGACAGGCGTGGGTACAGGCAAAGACTTTCTGTGGGCCCTTCTGCTCTCACTGGGAGGCAAATATCAGGTGAAAGTAGCAGGCAATGGGGAGCTGGAGGCAGAGGGAGATATTCTCTCCTGTTTCTACAGAAGAAACACTTGAGGTGCCTGGCTGGCTCAGTCAGTAGAGCGTGCAAGTCTTGATCTCATGGTTGTGAGTTCGAGCCCCATGTTTGGTATAGAGATTAATAAAAAAAATAATAAAATACTTTTTAAAAAAATAAAATAAAAATAAAAACATTGAAGTCTTTAATAAAATAGGATCGTTTCCAGCCTCCATGTTGATGAGACCAGAATTTATTATCTCAGTGAGTTCAGCTTAATGGTAGGATCTTTTAAGAGAAACAACATAAATGTTAAAGGATTTCTAACTTTCATTCACATTCCTGATTGATTTAAACCAGCATAATTTTATATCATCTCTCTCTCTCTCTCTCTCTCATTATGGATCAGCTTCATTGCCATCTAACAAACCCTAAACCGATTCTTTTGGTTGGGAAAGGGGCTCTCTCCCTCCCCCTTTTTTCCAAATAGCTAACCACAGCCCGGGGGGATGCTGGCCCTAATTCATCTTTTCAGCATTCATTTGACCCATCCCTGCACTGTTTTGATAGTACTCTTTGCTTTTCTAGGTTTGCTGTGGAATTTGTCATCTAATGACAAACTCAAGAATCTCATGATAACAGAAGCCTTGCTTATCCTGACTGAGAATATCATCATTCCCTTCTCGGGGTGGCCAGAAGGAGATTACCCTAAAGCTAACGGTTTGCTTGATTTTGATATATTTTACAACGTCACAGGATGCTTAAGGTAATGCCACTCTACAGATCTTTTCTCTCTATACCTTACATACTGCATCCAGGTTTCTAAAACTCTACTCCATTACCTGGAGGTGCAATAAGAATTATAAAGATCAGTCTAAATACAAGAAGCGCAAGAAGTGTGTCATTACCCATTGTTACCAATGGGGCGTGTAGAGACAATGAGAAAGGAAAGTAAGAACAGAATATTGTTTCTAGGCATATTTGATTTTATCACCTACCCACATTAGCTCACAAAAGAGAGGATGTCATTTCCAATAAAGAAAACAGAGAGCTGATCTGAATGCCCAGAATCCCATGCAAACTGGCCTTTCCTGTCTCCCAGGGTTTAAGGTAGGCTCCATGCTATTTTTAATTCACAAAAATCTAATTTACTGACATGGTTAAAAAATAATTTTAAACCTAGGGTTTTTATTCTTTTATCCTATACATTATATTAGTTTCAGATGTACAACATAATGATTCGATATTTGTGTATATTGCAGTCACCACAGTAAGTCGAGATGACATTCATCACTATGCATAGTTACAGAATTTCTTTTTTCTTGTGATGAGTACTTTTAAGACTTTTCTCTCTTAGCAACTTTTAAATATGTAATACAGTATCATTAACTATAGTTGCCAGGCTGTACATTACCTCACCAGGACTGACTGACTTGTTTGCTTGTTTGTTTATGGCATATGAAAAATTTATTTCCATTATGGTTTCTTTGGACTTATTTTATGACTAGAAATTTGTACCTTCTGACCACTTTCACCCATTTTGCCCAACCCTCCTGCCTCTGACAATCCCACCAGTCTGTTCTCTGTTACCTATGAGCTTGTTTTTGTTGTTATTGATTTAAGTAATCTCCGTATCCAACATGGGGCTCAAACTCATAACCCCGAGATCAAAGTCACATGCTCTACTGACTGAGCCAGCCAGGCGCCCCTACGACCTTGGTTTTTATTTTTGTTTTGTTTTGTTTCTTTTAGATTCCAATTATAAGTGAGATCATACAGCATTTGTCTTTCTCTGTCTGATTTATTTCACTTAGCATAATGCCCTCAAGGTCCATCCATGATGTTGCCAGTGGCAATATTTCATTCTTTGCTGTTGCTGAATAATATTCTACATATATATATACACCAGATTTTATCCATTCACTTATCTATAGACACTTAGCTTGTTTCCATTTCTTGGCTATTATGAATAATGCTTCAATGAACATGAGGGTGCATATATCTTTTCAAAGTTAGTGTTTTCATTTTCTTTTGATAAATATCCAGAAGTGGAATTGCTGGATCATATGGTAGTTCTATGTTTAATTTTTTGAGGAACCTCTGTAATGTTTTCCATAGTGGTTGTGTCAACTTAACATTCCCACAAGCACTGCACAAGGTTTGCCTTTTCTCCATATCCTCACCAACACTTTTGTTATTTCTTGTCTTTTTGAGGATAGCCATTCTAACAGGTGTGAAGTGATATCTCCTTGTGGTTTTGATTTTCATTTCCCTGGTAATTAGTGATGTTGAGCATTTTTTCATGTGCCTGTTAGCCATCTCTGTATCTTCTTTAGAAAAATGTCTATTCAGGGGCGCCTGGGTGGCTCAGTCGTTAAGCGACTGCCTTCGGCTCAGGTCATGATCCCATGGTCCTGGGATCGAGCCCCACATTGGGCTCCCTGCTTGGTGGGAAGCCTGCTTCTCCCTCTCCCACTCCCCCTGCTTGTGTTCCCTCTCTCACTGTGTCTCTCTCTGTCAGATAAATAAATAAAATCTTTAAAAAAAAAAAAGAAAAAGAAAAATGTCTATTCAGATCTTCTGCTTATTTTTAAATCAGATTTTTACTATTGAATTGTATGTTTTTCATATATTTTGGATATTAACCCCTTATCAGATACATGATTTGCAGGTATTTTCTCCCATTCCACAGATGGACTTTTCATTTTGTTGATGAAGCTTTTTTAGTTTGATATCATCCCACTTGATTATTTTTGCTCTTGTTACCTTTTCTTTTGGTGTCAGATCCAAAAAATAATCACCAAGATTGATGTCAAGAAGCTTACTGCCTATGCTTTCTTCTAGCAGTTTTATGGTTTCAGGTCTTATATCCATCTTTAATCCATTTTGAGTTAATTTTGTGCATGGTGTGAGATAGTGGTCTAGTTTCATTCTTTTGCATGTGGCTGTACAGTTTTCCCAGCACCATTTATTAAAGAGACTTTCCCTTCTCCTTTCCCCACTTTCCCCAAGTGTTCTTGACTTCTTTGTTGCAAATTAATTGACCGTATATGCTCAAGTTTGTTTCTGGGCTCTTTATTCTGTTGCAATGATCTATGTGTCCACATGCTGTTTTGATTACTATAGCTTTGTGATATAGTTTGCAAGCGGAGTGTGATGCCTCCAGCTTTGCTCTTCTTTCTCAAGATTACTTTCTTTATTTGGGGTCTTTTGTGATTCCAAACAAATTGTAGAACTGTTTGTTCTATTTCTGTGAAAACTGCCATTAGAAATTTAATAGGGATTGTGTTGACTCTGTAGATTGCCTTGGACATTTTAACTATATTAATTCTTCCAATCCATGAGTATGGTATATCTTTCCCTTTATTTATGCCTTCAGTTTGTTTCATCAGTGTCATGTTGTTGTTGTATACAGGTCTTTTGCCTACTTAGTTAAATTTATTCCTAGATGTTTTTAAATAGCTGTAAGGCAACAAAGCCTAAAGGGACAGAAAGTTTTGCCATAAGAACAGCTACAAAGGAAGTTAGTTTGATCAGCATTTCTAAATAATGGGATGAAATATGCTTGAAAGGTTTTCTTCCTTGGGCTGTCAGATGCCAGCTAAATCAAGAGGAAATAGAAATACATGCAGGAGAAAGAAAAGTGCTAGTCATCTCTAAGATCATGCATCTCAAGCTTTCTTATATTTGAAAATAATCATTGTGCTTTATGTGCAAGGATTAAAAGAAATCAAATGGAAGATATAATCAGGGGGTGCCTGGGTGGCTCAGTCAGTTAAGCATCCGACTCTTGATTTCGGCTCACATCATGATCTCAGGGTAGTGAGATTGAGCCCAGCATCAGGCTCCGCGTGCACACACTCTCTCTCTCTCAAAAAAAAAAAAGTAAAATTAGGCAGCCCATGAGAGGTCAGAATATATTCTGCCTTTTGATATTTTCTCTAGTTTCAGTTCAGTTTTTGGGGGAATCTAGATGGTAACTAAGAGAATTTATTATGGTGAAATGTTTATCTTCTCTCCGTTTTTAATCACACATCATATCAAATACCAGTTTTGTGTAAGCTTTTATGGAAATTTCACAAAGATGAATAAGAAAATCCTTAGGGAACCGTTAACCTAACGGGGGATGCAGATGAGCAAAGGAAAGAGAACACAGCTTACAGTGAAATATGTTAGAGCAGTAGCTCCTGGAGCATTAGCATCTGCATCACCCGGAACCTGTTAAAATCCTCAGGTCCCACCCCACACCTTTGGAATCAGAAACTCTCAGGGTGGGGCCCAGCAGTCTAGTTTTAACAAGCCCTCCAGGTGATTTGATGCAGCTGAATTATGAGAGCCATGGTGTCAGAGGTACAAGGGAAGTAAGTGCTGCAGGAATGCAGAACAAAGGACCATTCATGCCAGCAGAGTGGGATCAGAAAGACTCTATAGAAGAGGTGCCAAATGAACTAGGCCTCGGTGGATTATTTCAATAGTCAGAAATTCTCTAAGGACTAGGCACTCAATCCTTGAACAGCAGAAGAAGTGCCTAAATGGTCTCTTTGCATCCGTCTTCTGTACAGTTCACTAGAACTGCTTTTTTATTACACTTTTGATCTAATAACACATTTTGATCTATTTAAAAACATTTTGCATCTCAGAATTTCTCTGTAGCTCCCATTGCCTGACCGTGTTACATCAGAGTTCTTAAATTATCAGTAGGGACTCTTCCAACTCAAAATGAGATACTCAACTCAAACTCCCTAAAGCCAAGTAGGGATTCATTGGCTCCTGTGGGTGAGCTGTTGATGGTCACTTGTGGAAGTGAAGGAAGTGCACCAGGAACCATGACCTCAGGGACTCCGACAGAAACTCAGCATCCATGGGACTCACTCTGTTTTTAAATTTGTATCTCCTCTCCACTTGTTCTTCTTCTTTCACATGTTGGGCTCATTCTCTACAAGTACAAACAAGCCTGTGCATTCTTTTTATCTTTAATCCCTAACACCTAGCAAAGTTTCTGGCGTACAATAAGCAATTATAAAGTATCTGAATGAAAAAAATAAATGAAGGGGTGAGCAAATGAAAATACATGATGAACTGGGGGAATAATCAAGTCTGGCGAGAGTATCAAATTTGTGTTGGGAAGTAATCAAACAAGTTGGAAACATAGGGTAAGGCTAGATAGTGGGGGCCTTTGAAGGTCATGTTAAGGGGTTAATTTTTTTCTTCTGTAAGCAAGATTAGCTAGTGTGGGAGGATAGAAATATGGTAAGTTCTGTGTGAAGAATAATTATAATAACAGGAAAGGTGTATTGAGAAGGTGAATAATAAAGATAAAAATATTAGTTACAAATCTCTTCCTGCTGCTTCCCCCTTATGAACGAGGAATAAAAGACTTAGATGTTTTGAGTGAAGCAGTGCCTTAGTTGACACACATTTTCCAGAAGATGTAATAGCTGAATACACTCCCATCAATATGACACCATTTTAAACAGTGTTTGCAAAGCCAATCCAAACCACTGACTTGAACTACTTTTAGAAGCAGAATATAGCAAAACATCTACAAAATTTGAATGCCATGGTATATGCTTAAATATCTGTTCTTATTTCACCTATGTATCTAAATCACAATAATAATAGTTGACATTTATTGTGTATTATGTTCTAGAAACTGTTCTAAATTCTTGATGAGGATTTTCTCAGTTTATTCTTACAGCAGCCCTTGTAAAGTAAGCTTTCCCCGTTTTATAGTTGAGGGGTTCAAGGAGATTGATATTTCCAACA